CACTGAGTGTGGGACATTCCACTAGAGAAGACACCCAGCACTGTCTTTTCAACAAGACAGTACATTCAGAAGTTTTTTCAAAAAGAGCAAATAACATGGGGCCAGTGTTGTGGCCCAGCAGGTTAAGCCTCTACCTGCAATGCCAGCATCCTATATGGGCGCCAGTTCAAATCCTGGTTGTTCTACTTCCAAGCCAGCTCTCTGCTATTGTGCCTGGGAAAGCAGAAGATGGCCCAGTGCTTAGGTCCCTGCACCCATGTGGGAGACTCTGAAGAAGCTCCTGGCCTTGGTCTGTCGCACCTGTATACGACCCACTGAGGATAAAAGGGAAGGACATGACTGCGTAACAGCAGCCCTGCAAAGGCCTCATCAGATGAAACAGCCTGTGCCCTGGCAACTGAAGTATATTCAGAAGGTGAGGGCCACCAGCAAAGCCACCAACCTGAATGATAAGCGAACACGCAAAATCTGGTTTTAGTGAACACAGCTGTCTCCATACATGACAGTGTCTTCTACTGTTCAACAACTCAGGCTGATCTCACTGTATAAGGCTCGTTACTAGATAAGAGCGAGATAAAGGTACCACTTCAAGGGCAAAGAGCACACAGGCTTATTCCTGAAGGAGCTGTTGAATGGTTCCCTGGTGCTGAACACAACACTCTTGGCTTTTTGGCACAGCGACCCAAGCACGGGCAGTGGAGTCAGGGGAACCTAGAGTCCAGCTCCTCCATGTCAGCTCTGACCCTTAGGCAAGATACTTACCTTCTCCATGCCTCCTTCTCTCCGTTTCTCTCTTTCAGATAAACAGATGGACAGGTGGAAATGATGCCAGCCCCCAGACCTGTGGTGGTCAGCGAGGATTAGCCCTTCTCCCCTCCCACAGACACTCTCTACCGTGACATACTGCAAGGCTTCGTATTCCAACACTTCTAACCAGTTACAGCTACAGCAGGGGGTGAGGGTGATGAAGGAAGAATTTCCCTTACATTTTCTGACACACACGGTCCTTTCACATTCAGGGATACACACGGACCAATGACTCCTGCAATCTTCAGTTCCCGAGAGGTCTAAAAACAAATGATATACAAGTATAAAGTTAAAATTCACTGAGACCCACTCTGTCCCCACGATGGTTACAACACAAATTCAGAGGGAAAATATGACACTATGCTTGCCCCCATGCTCAGATTTTTAAATGTGAATTCATTTTAACAATGCCCATTCCACTTCATATTAAAAAGGAAAAAAAGGGGCCGGCACAGCAGGTAAAGCTGCCGCCTACGAGGCTGGCATTCCATATAGTTGCTGGTTCAGGTCCCAGCTGCTCTACTTCTAATCTAGCTCCCTGTTAGTGAGCCTGGAAAGGCAACAGTGGATGTCCCAGATGCTTGGGCCCCTGCACCCATGTGGGAGAGCAGAATAGGGCTCCTGGCTTTGGCCATGCCCAGCCCTGGCCATTATGGCTATTTGGGGAGTGAAGCAGAGGTTGGAGGATCTCTTTCTTTGTTTATTTCTCCCTCTCTCTCTGTAACTCCATCTTTCAAATAAATAAATAATCTTCAAAAAAAGAAAAAATTCAACCATGTTTATTAAAGTTGAACCTAAATGACTTAATGATAATTGCCAATTCTGTAAGTATTAGCTCCACTCGTATTTTCTAAAGGCGCCTTTTAAAGTTTTCTCAGTGACTTAGAATTAACTGTGTAGAGGGCCAGGAGTCCTTTCATGGAAAAACAAACCAAAACTCACAATGCTGTCTATTCAACAGTCACTAAATGAAAACCAGAGCTCTGGGAAGTGTGGACCCCACACTGATTGCTGGGGGACACTGCCCACTGTGTGGATTCCTCTGTCCTTGGATTTCAGTGCTATTCCTAACCCCTACCCCAACACCAGCTCTCCTATAGTGGCGAAAATAGATAGTCTCTCTAACTCCAGAGTGCTGCAAGGTCTGCAGGGGAACTAGACCACTCTGTTTTGAGTACTAACACACATGCAGGTCAGCCTGGAGAAGCGAAGGGATGATGTGAATAATAAACTCTATGACAGCCACTGTGGTCTGGACATTTACATCTCTGTCCAACAGACTGAGGTTGCTGGAAGCCTAACCATGAGTAAGCAGGAACACTGCACAGTCATCCCTCAATATCCAAGATGGACTGGTCCCAGATGCCCCTACACACACCAAAATCCATGTAGAAAAGAACGCGGTATTTGCATATAACCTATGCATATCTCCCCAGATAATTTAAATTATTTCTACATCACTCTAATACCCCAAACAATGTAAATACTATGTTACGCTATATTATTTAGGAAATAATGTAAAAGCTGTTAAACTGTATTACTTAGGGAATGACAGAAAAGAAGGCTACATATGTTCAGTACAAATTTTCCCCCAAAAGTTTTGAATTCAGCTTGTTAAATCCATGGCTGGGGAAATGTTCAGATACAAAGCTGTGAGTCCATTAACGTTTTAAAGTCTGTCATACCTTTACTTCTAAAGTAGCACCGAACGCCATTCGGAAATCTCCATTAAAATCCTTACTAAAAATTCTTTGGAATGTCTGCTTGAAGAGGGAAGTGTTGAAAGAATCTCCCATCACCATGTGGCCTCTAGGTAAGAAAAAAGAAAGCGAACATTAGCATTGACAGAAACCATTCAAGTACCCCCTCAGTTTGTACAAACAATAGTTTAAGGAAGACTACCAAAACAAATCACGTCCACAAAACAGCAAGTTCAATTTGTGTACTTTAGGAAAGAAACTATTCCTAAAACATTAAGCATAGAATCCTTACCAGTTTGATGTTTTGATCACTGTGGTGATTATACAATTCAATACAGTCGATAAAATCGCAGAGAACTCTACACATACACATAGGAAAAACGAATGCTTGTGAAACTGGTAAAACCCAAGTAAGGTCTGTGTGCCGATACTATTAAGTATTCAGCCACACATTTAGAAATATGTCTAACAGAACAGTGACTTTGGTAGAGTAAACAATAAGAGAGGCTTAAATCCTCTTATTTTTAAAATTACAGGACTTGAACCTACCCCTGAGAACTCAAAATTCTCCGTGCCATCACATACACCACACTAAAGCAAGGTCAGCTAAAAGAGTTATAGGGCCCAGTACAGTTAATTGGTCTGCAGTACTGTTAACTGCTTAGTGCCAGTATCAGTTTCCCGGTACTGATACTACCACTGGGAGAAACCAGATGAAGGAAACAGAAGCATCGTGCGTATTTCCTGTACATTTACTTTTTCTCAATCTATAATTACTTCAAAATGAAAGTGAAAGTGGGGCCGGTGCCGTGGCTCACTTGGTTTATCTTCCGCCTGCGGCGCTGGCATCCCATATGGGCGCCAGGTTCTAGTCCTGGTTGCTCCTCTTCCAGTCCAGCTCTCTGCTGTGGCCTGGGAAGGCAGTGGAGGATGACCCAAGTGCTTGGGCCCCTGCACCTGCATGGGAGACCAGAAAGAAGCACCTGGCTCCTGGCGCCGGATTGGCGCAGCGTGCCAGCTGTGGTGGCCATTTGAGGGGTGAACTAATGGAAGGAAAACCTTTCTCCCTGTCTCTCTCTTGACTGTCTAACTCTACCTGTCAAATTAAAAAAAAAAAAAAAAAGAAAAAGAAAGTGAAAGAAAAAGAACCCTTGGGGCCAGCGCTGTGGCACAGTGGGTGAAGACGCCACCTGCGGGGCCAGCGCTGTGGCATAGCAGGTAAAGCCTGCAGTGCCGGCATCCCATGTGAGAGCTGGTTCAAGTCCCAGTGGCTCCACTTCGGATCCTGCTCTCTGCTATGGCCTGGGAAAGCAGTTGAGGATGGCCCGAGTCCTTGGGTCCCTGCACCCACGTGGGAGACCTGGAGGAAGCTCCTGGCTCATAGCTTCAGACTGACTGAGCGCCGGCTATTGTGGCTATTCGGGGAGTGAATTAGTGGATAGAAGACCTCTCTCTCTCTCTGCCCCTGCCTCTCTGTAACTCTGTCTTTCAAATTAAAAAGAAAAAGAAAAAGAAAAAAAATCCTTGAATAGACCCACCAGTTTATTAAAAAAAAAAAAAAAAAAAGATCTTACTTATTGGAAAGGCAGAGTTATAGAGAGAGACAGAAAGAGACCTCTCAACTAGGGGCTCACTCCCCAAATGGTTGCAATGGCCAGGGCTAGGCCAGACCAAAGCTAGGAGCCAGGAGCTCCATCTGGGTCTCCCACATGGGTACAGGGGCTATTGTCCGCTGCCTTCCCAGCTGGATGGGAAGTGGAGCACAGGACAACAAGCAGCACTCTTTTATTTTATCATTTTATTTTTTTATTTTGACAGGCAGAGCAGACAGTGAAAGAGAGAGAGACAGAGAGAAAGGTCTTCCTTTGCCGTTGGTTCACCCTCCAATGGCCGCTGTGGCCGGCACACTGCACTCAGCGCGCTGATCCAAAGCCAGGAGCCAGGTGCTTCTCTTGGTCTCCCATGTGGGTGCAGGACCCAAGCACTTGGGCCATCCTCCACTGCACTCCCTGGCCACAGCAGAGAGCTGGCCTGGAAGAGGGGCAATGGGGACAGAATCTGGCGCCCCGACTGGGACTAGAACCTGGGGTGCCAGTGCCGCAGGCGGAGGATTAGCCTAGTGAGCCGCGGCGCCGGCTAAGAAGCAGCACTCTTACGGGATGCTATTGTCACAGGCGGCAACCTAACCCACTGTGCCATAATGCTGGCCCCAGACCCACCAGTTTGAATAATTTATCTACTGGGAAAACATCTCCAATCCTTCATACAGTTCTTTGGGATAAGAAAATAACCAGCCCTGTGGGAAACCCACATTTACTGCCTCAAAACCTTGAATGCTTGACAAGAATTATTTTCCTCATTTTTCAATATGATAGTCACCCATTATTGAAGTTAAAGGAAAACACTGTTCAAAATTGCATGCATGTAGGCAGAGAAGCACAGTTTGGTGCAAGCTGCGCATCCAGAAGCCCGGGGCCAGCTAGGGGCCTGGCCTAACAGGCAGAGTGGACAGTGCTAGAGAGAGACAGAGAGAAAGGTCTTCCTTTGTGTTGGTTCACCCTCCAATGGCTGCCGCGGCAGGCGCACTGCGGCCGGTGCACCGCGCTGATCTGATGGCAGGAGCCAGGAGCCAGGTGCTTTTCCTGGTCTCCCATGGGGTGCAGGGCCCAAGCACCTGGGCCATCCTCCACTGCACTCCCTGGCCACAGCAGAGAGCTGGCCTGGAAGAGGGGCAACCGGGACAGAATCCGGCGCCCCGACCGGGACTAGAACCCGGTGTGCCGGCGCCGCTAGGCAGAGGATTAGCCTAGTGAGCCGCGGCGCCGGCCCAGAAGCCATTTTAAAGCAAGATCTCTGAACAGGGAAGAGCACAGGAACAATCACACGGTCCACCCGTCTTGGAGTACCTGACCCTTCCAGCGAGGGGGGGTCAGCTATTTGCCCCAAATAATCACTCTCCTCCTCTTCCTTTATCGCGTACTCCATAGCCGCCTGAAATACAAACGCATTTCCTACCCTGCCATCCACGTGGCCCCGCGACTCGGCTCTGCTTGCTCAAGTGTCCTTTATGATGTGTGGGGTGTATTCCTGTGGGAAGGGGCATGTCCGTCTTTGACCTTTCCTGCTTCCTACTGCTGAGACGTGGCTGGAGCTCCAGCAACCAGCCTGAACTCCAGCCGCAGGTGAAGCGGGCAGGAACAGCTCAGGAGGAGCCTGAGACATTGCGTATCTATTTTGAGTTTTGTCAGTGGTTCCTGGCTCACAACATCCACAGATCTTGTTATTTCCTAAGTTTCTAGAAAAGGGTTGGTGAGTTGGACCTCGTTAACAAGTCTCAGGAAGCAACATCCCTCTCTCTGACCTTTCTGCCCTTTCACTCGCTTCTTTCTCTCTCCAAGGTAGGCCTTGGAAACTATTATTCTTCCCCAAAGTGGCTCAGAAACACAGATCTGCCCCACCTTTCCATCTTGGAGATGGCTATGAAGTGTCTGACCTACGCTTTTCTGATCCTAAAACGCATTTCAGAAGGGAGCTTGCCCATACCAGTAAGGAAAGGATGCTGGCCAGAAAGGCCAAGAAGGATCTGGACAGGCCAGGCTGGGCTTCTCCACTGAATCTGCCGGCATTTGATCAGACCCTTTTTGTCCAGTCACTTTCTACTGCTGCCCAAGATTCAATCATGTCTATGCAACGAGGTCTCCATACAAACCCTATAGGACAGGGTTTGGAGAGCTTCTGGATAGCTGAGCATCTGGGGGTTCTAGAGTGTGATGCAACCAGGGAGGGCAGGAAAGGACCGCCCCCTTCCCCACACCTTGCTCTGTCCATATCCTTTGTGATATCCTTGTTAAGAAGCCACTGGGAATCCTAAGTTCTTCCCTGAGTTCCAGGAGTCACTTAAGCAAATTAATCAAACTTACAGAGAGGGGGTAGTGGGAATCCTTATTGATAGCCAGTCAGTCAGAAGCAGCGTGAAACCAACCTGGGGGCTTGTGACTGGCATTTAGGGGTGGGGGCAGTCCCAGGGGCTGAGCCTTCAAATTATGCAGTCTAAAAGGACCCCCAGTAGATTAGGGGATCTAATTAAATTAGGAGTGTGCTGCTGCAGCATGCCTGCTAGCTTGGTATGTGGGCAAAAACACATGTGGCGTCAGAAGCGACCTGAGTTGTGAGGGCACAGGAGAAACTGAGTCTGAGTTTGTTTTTCCCTCTATATCCTCTATATAATCAGAGACCTTCAGCTCCTGATTATGATAAAATCAGGATGCCAGCCCTAGGCTGGCCACCTCCATGACAGAGAAAGCTGTTGTAGGCTTTCGTCACACTCATATAAATCATGACTCACCCCTCAACGACACCTGAGTACCTGCCAAGTCACCACTCATATAAATCATGACTCACCCCTCAACGACACCTGAGTACCTGCCAAGTCACCACCCCGGGCAGCAGGGAGCGTAAGCCCTTGAGAAGCCGCCTCTCCGTGTCTGGGGCGCTGACTGTCAGGAAGGGGGTCTCGATACTGAGACCAGCTGCCAGCCCCTGGTCTTGGAACGAAATGGTAGCCTACTGAACATACACAGCAATCCTTCAAAACTTGAGTTCAGTTCTTGTGTGCTTGTCTGTCTCCAGCCTAATCTGTACTAGCTCCTTCAATGATTCTCCCCAAGGCTGAGTTTCGGGTGCTCTCCCCCATGCCTTTTGCTCCCCTGTGAGCACCGCCAAGCCACTGATCCAACCTTCTCAGCAGAAATGCTCTGTGTGGAAAACAACATAATCTTGGAGAACGTGATGGAAGCAATGGCACCTCCCCACAGAAGAAATACACACACATGAACACTGACAGACCATCTCAGGAAGTTCACCAATGCACTACAGCGTTCCTGTGGCTTCTCACAGCCAAGAACTCATGGTGGGCCCTGGCAAGACTTCATCATGAGATCTGGCTCGCTTAGACAGTGCCATCTGTGTCATCTGGGCACTAATTCTATCCCCTAACACATCTGCTGCTCTCTAGCACAGTTGAAGTGACCTGGGCTCCCTCTCAGACCCCTTTTTTTCCAATGAGGACCAGCAGTATCACCTGGGAGCCTGTGACAAACGCAGAATCTCAGGCCCACACCATGGCTCGCTCAACACCGCTTCTCCTCAAACTGTCCCGTGCATGCAGATTCCCTGGGGATCTTGTTCGAATGAAGCTCTGATTCAGCAGACTTGGAGCAAGGCTCAAGGTGCTGCATTTTTAACAAGCTCCCCGGTGTGGCTGCTGCTGTGTGACTCAAACTCTACTTCATGGGAGAATTGCTGGAGGAACTTTCCCACATGCAGATGCTCAGGCCACACCCCATGCAAGGAAATCAGACTCTGGAGGACAAGACCCAAAGCAAGAGTAGCTTTCCAAGTTCTCTAAGTGCCTCTGGTGTGCAGCCGGCTCCAGACCAGTGGCCCCATCAGCTGTTCTTACCCTTTCAGGTGCACTGCAATCTCCCGGAGCGCTCCTCCCCAGAGCTTCTGACTCACCAGGTCTGGGACAGGATGCGGACAGCACATTCCTAATCAGCTCCCAGGAACCCCTAAGGCTGCTGGTCCAGGCACCAGTGCACACTGAGAACCACTGCTTTCCACCTTGACCTGTGAGTACAGTTCAGCCTCAGGCTCCAAACCAGCACCCTGTCGTTCGCCCTCTAGGCTTACAGTGTACTTGGTATGGGTCACAAAGTACAGTCCCTCAGTCAGGTCAGGTTTGCTCCTCACTGCTCCAGCATTCAGACTCTATCCTTCCACTGGCTCACAGGAAGTACCCTGCTGAAGGCCATGCACTCCCCGCTTGCCGGCTTTCCTGGCCTGCTCTCTGTGAATCTTAAAACTTTAAGGAAGAAATGAAGTTACTCTGGTGTAACTTCTTACAGCAACCCCTTGAGACCTCCTGCTAATCTGCTTCTTCCTCTGAGGGGCCAACACCCCCTCCCCAATTGATATGGTACCTGGCTTAGGTCTGCTTGAGCTACAAGTCCTACAAGGTGCCATGTGTAATTCTACCCTCTTACTTGTCAATCAAAACATCCCCTTTCCTGGGATGTACCTGCTTCATCTGGGACCTATGGTGGGGAATGTCATGAACATATGGCTATCAAGCTCCACATGGAACTTGAGGAGGTGCCATAAAATTCCTAGGTAGCTTCACACCTGCAGAGGCCCCACCCCACCTTCACAAAAGAGGCCAACAAATGGGAGAAGTTCTCTCTCCTTGGCAGGGCCCATAGCTGGAGGTGCTACCCAGGCGCCCTTTCTCCACCCACCACACCACTTGCCACCCCACCTCTCTTCTGGCAATCATCTGGCCTGCTGCCCATTCGGGATGGGAATTTCTCTGTGTGGGGCAATCCATGTTCATTGGTGCGTATCTGTTCACTTTCTCACTTTCTGAATAAATTTTCTTACCACTTTGAGCATCTTATACATGTGCATGTCTGAATTTAGAATGCTTGTCTCTGTGCAAGACAAGAGCCTGGAGTAAGATTAACACACCCGGGCCCACACCACAGTCACTGAAACCATGGCCCAGGGCTACCTGAAAGCTCCTGTGGGGTGACCTTACCCATCCCCATGTTCCCATCACTGATTCCTCTTTCCTTACCCCTCACTTTCCCCAGATATCTGCGGTCAACATACCCAGTGAGGTTTGTACAACACTTCATCTCCAAAAGCCCAGTCTGATCAAGGGCACAGGCATAAATATCAATGCAGTGGCCGTTTGCAGCAGTTCGATTAGCAAGTATCTCATAATGCTGTGAAGAGAGGAAACATTCTTTAGGAAATAGTAACGTGATGCCATGGTATGCCTTAACATCCCAAAGGACATAGGAATGGAGATCTTTTTTTTTATTTTTTTTATTATTTTTGTTTTTTTCTGTATTTGTTTCAAGTTTTTTATTTTAATCTTTTTATTAATTTTATTTTTATTAATTTTTTCTATTTTTCTTTATTACTTTTTTATTTTTTATTATATTTTCTTTATTTTGCATTTTTATATTTTTTATTTTTTAGGTTTTTTTATTTTTTATTAGTTTTTTCTTTTATATATATTTATTTTAATTATCTATTATTTTTACTTTATTTTTTTTCTATTTTTATTTTTTATACATTTTTCTTTTTTTCTGTTTTTTTATTTTTTATATGCTTTTTTAATCTTTTTTTCTTTTTTATATTTATTTGTTTTTTATTTTTATTTTAATTTTTTTTAAATTTTTAAATTTATTTTATTTTTTGTTTATTTATCTTTGTTTCTTTTTTTATATTTTTTATTTTTTGTTATTTTATTTACTTTTATATAGTATTTTTTCTTTTTTATTATATTATTTTTATTTTATTTTATTATTTTTATTCTTTTTTTTATCTTTTTTATATATCGTTTTCTTAAAAACACACAGGGAAAATAAAGATTGAGTTTCCAGTTATAAAACACTTTGAGGTCATCTGCTGTGACGAAGGTCTGACAGTAGAAGTAGTCTAACAGCAGCCAAGACGTGGAAACAGTCTCAGGAAGAGGGCCTTGCTGACCGTGATGTGGGGGTCTCAGCACAGTAGCTGTCACTCCAGAGCAGCCCAAAGCCGGCACAGGGCTACTCCCATTATAGCCCGCGCCCATGAGTACCTACCTTGGTTGCCTTCTTCATGAAACGCGCATTATCTTTCTCAATGTCATGCCAGGAACGAATAGGAACCTTTAGTTCATCGCCAACGACCATGCCAGGCCCTTGGGTGGGAGGACCGCCTGTGAACAGCATGATCCGGGCTCCGGTGTTAGGAAATGTGCCCTGGAATAGGAAGCAGCAGCATTTCAGAGGTATACGCCCACCTCCAAGTGTGGTTCAACCTCCAACAGAAACGTTCCAAAGACTGAGTCTTTCCAGCTGCCCCGACCAGATGCAGCTGCACATCAACACAGAGGATGCTGCCGAGGGGCAGCACCAGCCTGAGGGTTCTGCACACTGGTATTAACTTACGGCGAGCACTTCCCATTGCTCTAATGCCCCTACGCTTTTCCTGAAAGCTTCTGGTACTCTCAGACATCCAGGGGTTCCTTCCATGTGGATAGCAATAATGACTTACATTAACATGGGCATCTGGTTGATTTACGTCACAACTGGTTTTCAAGCAAAGCCAACAAATAAAATTTCTGAGGACAAATTTCCCAGTGAATTGTGAATTACCTCCAACAAGCCAACAGCAATGGACAGCGCAACCCCGGTGGAGCGCAAGGGTCTCTTCCCCTGAGTTACTGGCCACGGGTCTCTCTGCAGCTCTCCCAGAAGATCAGTGAGGGTCATGTCAATCTTGTGAATGGGCTGCAGAAATCTGCAAATTTTGAAGAGAAACATCAGTCCTGGCTTAACAAAGCACTCTGGTCTTCAACTTCAGGGGGCTCCTAGTTACTGCTCTTCAAACAATTACTCAGAGTAGGAAAAACAACTGTCATTTTCTTCTTTAAGGTCATCTCTAACTACACACACAAAACAACTCAAGGAAATTTTACTAGGGAATATAAAGTCTAATATTTAGCAATCACATATGAGGCAAGGAAAAATAACAGTTTAAAGAGAATAAATGAGTTTAACTAATTGTTAAGCAGCAAAGGGATGCTAAGGACCCATCTAATGGAATTCGGTACATGGAAGGTCCACTGATGTGGCCAAGCTGCACCACTGCAAAGGTTTACTTTGTTTCTCTTCAGCCTGAGGAGTAACACAGAGAGAAATGTTCTAGTTTCTTCCCAGAGGAAGAAGTTCAGCCCAGCCTGCAGGTGATGCATTTTATTGAATTTGCTGGCCACTACCATCGCCCATTCACTCAGTAGCCTGAATGAAGTGAGTATCTTATTTGTGTGCATTCAATAAGAAGTCTTTTCACTCTTTGTCTCTGTCTGTCTCTCTTACACTCTCCTCTTCCTCTTTTCCTTCTTCACCCCTTCCCTCCAGTCTGTCAGGTTTCCCCCAATAAACTCTTTCCCTTAAAAAAAAAGTCTTCAAGTTTTTCAGTTTTACATAAGGATTAGAAAGGGCAACAACCATAAGTCTAAGAGGAGGAGAATGACTGAGTAAGGTGGTGTCAACACCTTTTTGACAAAATGTTAAATACCAGTTAAGCTGAATTTTCTTTAACAGGAGAATAAAGTTCTAATAGTGTCCTTCCTGACTCCCTTGGACTATCCTGCACACCCATTATGGCGTGTGTGTGACACTGTGTGTCTCACCTGCTTGAAATAAAAGAGTGCTCCTGGGCTTGAGCAGGTCTTGGTTGCTGCATGGGCATGGCTGACTTGGTCAGGCCCAGCATATCCTAAAGAAAACAGAAACAAAAAGACTCATTTCCCATACCATTAAGAGCGAACAACTAATTCACTTCTAAGAAACATCTTTGCTTCTGTACAAGTGAGACACAAACCTGTATTTGTTTTGCAGTTAAATCCTTGGTCCCTCGGAAGACGTAACTTTTGGAGATTCCTTCACAGCTTAGCTCGTGCACCTGCACCATCCTCCCAAAAGTGATGAG